CTATGTACTCAAGGCTAACTGGCCCTTGAACTTCTGGCTGATTCTCATGTCTTAGCCTCCTGTCTCACCATAGGAATGCGGGACTGCAGATGCTTGCCACCACACCCAGCCTTATTTTACTTGGGTCCAACTCAGAGCATCGGGATTGCTGGGGAGGAACTTTTACCTGAGGAGTCTTTTCTCCAACCTCTCCTCTTTTTATGGAGTTGTACATTATGTATGGGGATGGAGGAGGAAGAAGCTGAGTCCATCATATGGACTCAGGGTAGTTGAGAAACTACCCTGAGTAACCTTGGAGAAATTATGACCATGAAAAATGGTGCCAAGCAACCGCAGATAGGTAAGTAGTCAAAGAGAGAAAGCAGATAATGTCAAACCAGTAGGTGTCTAGCTGATGGTCAGCAACATTTTCAATTACACTATTTTAGCTGATATGAAGGGCCTTTAGGAAGCGGCTGAAGTGGATCCAAGAAAACAATGTTTGGAGTTTTACTTCCACTTGGCTTATATGTCATGTCATTGGGGAAAGCAGATGTCCTAGTGTGCTTTGTGTTGCTATAAAAGAATATTTGAAACTAGGCAGTTTAATGAAAATCAAGAAATGTTTCTAACAGTTCTGGGAGAGCTAAGGTCAAGGGTCTCTAATACGGTGAAAGTTGGCTGGCCTGCCTCCTTCTCACCCTTCTTCTTAGAGATTTTTGAGACAAGGTCTCACTACATAGCCTTGGCTGGCCTGGAACTCATTACGTAGATTAGGCTGGCTTCAAACTCCTAGAGATAAGGGCCACAGGTTTTTGTTTTTGTTTTCCATCTCCCAGTGAAAAGTGGGAGAGCACAGAGTAGGTGTGGGGAACGGGGAGAGCGCATGGGAGCACACAAGACAGGGTTTTAGTGAAAACACTTCAGCAGGGCTCTAAAGAGCTGCTTCAGTGATTAAGAGGAATTGCTACCTGTCTTCGTCAGGGTCACTATCCATGACCAAAAGCAACTCGGGGAGGAAGGGTTTAATTAGCTTACACTTTAATATCACTGTTCATCACTGAGGGGAATCCAGGCAGGAGCTGGTGCAGAGGCCATGGAGTCGTCCTCTGGCTTGCTCCTCAGGGCTTGCTCAGACTGCTTTCTTATAGAACCCAGTGTCACCAGCCATATTTCCACCCACAGTGGGCTGTGCCCTTCCCCATTGATGGCTAATTAAGAAAATGCCCTAGAAGCTTGTCTACAGCCAAGGTCAAGGAGGCATTTTCTCAGCTGAGGTTCCCTTCCCTCAGGTGGCTATGGTTTGTGTCAAACTGACTTAAAATTAGCCAGCACACCACCCCTGCAGAGGACCTGGCTTCAGTTCCTGGGCAACTCACAATCTATGAAACACCAATTCCAAGGGTCTTTTGCCTCTACCCATACCCACACTTAGAGCACATACTCACACAGACACGAATTTTTTTTTTCTTTTCTTTTTTCTTTTTGGTTTCTCAAGGCCCAGTTTCTCTGTGTATCAAGCTCTGGCTGTCCTGGACTTCCTTTGTAGAGCAGGATGACTTCAAACTCACAGAAATCCACCTGCGTCTGCCTCCCAGAGTGCGGGGATTAAAGGTGTACGCCACCACACCAGGCCAGACAAATAATTAAACATAACAAACCTTCATAAATGAATAAGATCTACTCCAGCGGTAATGACATTTATTTACTTAATTTTTTATTTTTATGAGGGAGCTGTGGTTTATTAGAAGACGTTTTTGACGTTGGCCTTAAGAGTGAAGGTTAAGAGAAAGAGAGGCGCTCAGGAGAAAGTAAGACACAGCCAGGAACGTGAGTGTGGACTCATGTTCAAGTCCCCTGAAGTCTCTGCTGTCATTTGCAGAAAGGTCTGGCACAGACCAGGCTGGCCTTAAACTTTTTAGGTAGCCGAAGATGACCTTGAACTTTAGATCTTCCAGCTGCCACAGTCTGACTGCGGAGGTTCCAGGACTACCCCTCAGCTCCCCGTTAATGAGGTGCCGAAGGTCAGTCCCAGGGCTTCATATGTTTTAGGCAAGCATCCTGCCAATAGGCTCTGTCCCCAGCCCCTACTTTCATTCGTGAATAAGGGCAGAGCCCTCGCCGCTGATCACCACTCACAAGCCCCACCATGCAACTACTGTGGTGCTGGGGGTGAAGGGTCATGAACTTTGGAGGATGGATTCAATCAGTAACAGTGGTGCCATCTGACCTTTCGCATCTCTGGATTAGAAACGTGCTCTTGGCCATCCCAATAAACCACAGCCGCTGATAAACTTGACATCAAGGGGCTTACTGTACCAGACACACAGGGCAGTGTGTCTGGCATCATTTTGTCTTCATATTCGTAGAGTCAGTCACCATGCAGATAGGACGTTGCAACACATTCTTAATATTTAACTTACTGCCCGGAGGAGGGGGCGATGGAGCGGGGCTGAAGCAGAACCTAGAAGCAAGCCTGCTCTCACGAGAAGAAGCCACAGCGGAAGCCATGAAGCCCAACTTTCCTGAGCTGGAGCAGAACCAGCATGAACTAGGAAGCATGTTTGAGGACTGGGGAGTAGCACTTTGTATGTTCTTGCCTGTCTGCTGCCTGTTTCGTCTGTGAAGCCACCTGGAGAAGTATGGCAGAATCTGCCCTGCTGGGTCCATCTCCTAGAGAATGGGCTGAAGCATAGGGCTGAGACAAAGTTCTCACAAAGACCGTTCTCCAAAAGCATGTGCCAGGGCTGCTGCTAGGCATGCACCCAGGTGGTGCCAGGGAAGCCGAGAGAACCAAGGCCAGCTTGGCCTGAGCTACACCCTCAGAGGGTGTTCAGCCTGCAAAGTCCTCAGTACTGGCTCTCCCAGAGCTCAAATATTTATACAAGATATTGGGATGCTAGGAATGGCCCCTGACCCTGCTGGCGTGGGAACCACACCCTGTTCACAGGTCTCACCTTGCTCTTATTCACTGGGCCTTGTACATGTGTTCTTTCTGTCCCTCCTTGCTCTTTGTTGTTGTTTTTGTTAGAAGAGACTCTTAGGCTGTCCTGAAACTCGCTATGTGGCCCAGACTGGTCCCCAAGTTAAGGTCATCTTCTGCTCACTCACTTTTTCTTTCCTCCTCATTTTTTTTCCTTCCTTCCCTCCTTCCTCCCCACCCCCTTCTTCCCTTCCTTCCTTTCTTCTTTAAACAGAGCCTTACCCTGTATCCCAGGCTGGCCCTAACTTGGGATGATTCTGTCTTAGCCTCCCATGTGTCTCCCTCTCTTTGTCTCTCTCTCTCTCTGTGTGTGTGTGTGTGTGTGTGTGTACTGGGAATCACGCTCATGGCCTCATGCACTCTGAGCAAACTGTCGCATTGCACCATCTGGGCAGCACCTAACTAAGGACGAGTCCCTGAAGTGAAAGGCTGAGAGGCTGCAGCTCCCATGACTTTGCAGCCTCCCAAGGGCTGGGCACTCAACAGTGGGCCAGCCTTTGGAGGTATTCAGGCCACCTGACTCTCAGAACACCTTTAGGCACAGAATCTTGTTTCATGCAGTGACAATGTGGCTTCACGGCCTTCTTTCTCCCTGCACTGTGCCCCTAAAGTCAGCAGATCCTAGCAGGCTTGCCAGAGTCAGAGCAAGACCTTTCTTCCTCCCTGATGGCGAGTTCCTGCATGGAGAAAGGACCAGTTCCGATCTGCTCAGGGCTTCTTCGGTGTTCCTGTCAATCTTACCTCAGCACTGGCCAGATTCACCTTCTCAAGAGCCCTGAATGATGCTTCTGGAAGAAGGCCTTTCTGAGAACATCGCACTGAAAGCGAAGAGAACTTGCCCCTCATCCCACAGGCATCTCTTACTGAGTTTGACATTGTACTGTAATCACAGCACTTAGAAGGCTGCCATGTGTTCAAGGCCAGCCTGGGCTACCTAACAAGTCTCTGGCCTTCCAAGACTACACAGCATAGTATTTATCACAAACAAAACACAACACAACAGTCTTCGTCTCCCATATTACAGTTCCCTATCTGAAACAAGTACTTTTTAAAGGTTTCCTGGAGCTTTCCTGGCCAACAGGCTTAGCCTAATGCACAAGCCCAGGTCCCAGGGAGAGACTATCTAAAAGAGCACGTGGGGAAGTTCAGTTAATGTTTCTAGAAATGAGGAAAAACACTTGAAGCTGACCTCAATTCCACATGTACACATGTGCACCCACACCCATGAACACACATACACACACACACACACACACACACACACACACCACACACCACACACGAGCTCTTTACAGTTGCTCTTTACAACTGTAAGCTCTTTACAGTTGTAAGATGTTTGCATAAAGCGCAGAGCACTTTATACATCTAGCAAGCTAGAAACGTGTTATTAGGATGCTAACCAGGCCGTGGTCCTGCCAATCAAACAAGGATACAGGCTGGTGGTGGGATGGGATTAAAGTCCAAATAAGCGAAGGGCAGAATCCTAAAGGTGGCATCTTGGAAGTGGGGGAGGAAGGCACGGGGCTTGGGAAGGCAGAAGAATGTTTGAGGAGTTGGAAGTAGCTCCTTGGTGCATGTTCTTTGGTGGGAGAAAGAAAGTGGTTGTGAGATATATGTCGACAGTCTCTGGTACAAGGCCTGGAGATCCAGAGCCCCAGACTATGAGCCCAAACCTGAAGTGGGCAGTAGGTCCTTCAGAAGATTTCTCTGTTAGGGTCAGTCATGACGAGGAAGGGCACTTTCTTCCTACCCATCGTCCTGCCTTCTTAGCATGGGCCTTGTCCTAGGGCTTGGCCACTCCCAGCATGCAGCACCCCCACCCCTCAGCCGGGTTAGGAGGCAGGCGGAGGCTTTTTGCGGGGGCTGTGCTGGGTGGGCAGTTTTCCCAGAGCAAGGAGTGAAGCAGGACTGAGTTGGCGCCAGCTTCTTCAGATACTGGCTGGATGGCTAGCCTGTCCGGGCTAGCTTGAGCTCAACACTCCTCAGGCACTGTGTTCCTGCTCTAGGGCCTACAAGCCCCATAACCCAAGACAGCAGCATGTCACAGGAGACCACAGAGACACCAGCAACACCAGGAGCAGGGTATGGCCAGACTAAAGCCAAAGCGAGGTTACTTCTAGGCACTGACAGGAAGAGGAGCCGCCTCAACAGGACAAGGCAGGACCTATGGGACGACACAAGCTGGAGTCATCACAGACTGAGCAGAGCCACCTCTGCCCCTCGAGGGACCAAAGCTAGGGGAACAGCTCATGGCAGGGTAAGGATACTCTGGACCCTGGGAGGGAGGTGGGGAAGGAAGGGTTTGGAAAACATTGAGATGCTACCTCTGAAGGCAGAGACTAGCTCAGTGTTGATGGTTCTGTCCAAGAGGAGGATGCCGGGTCCTTAGGTCCATGTTACCATGCTGGGGTGGGCAGGACAGGTCAGAGCCTCATCAGAGCACAGCTCAGAGAGTTGACGTGACTAATTTCTACTGAGGAAACTCAGGCCCAGAGGAGAGATGTGAATTGCCTAATGTCCCTGTGCCAGTGGCAGGGGACCTAGGCTGAGTTTTTTGTTTTCTTTCTTTCTTTCTTTCTTTCTTTCTTTCTTTCTTTCTTTCTTCCTTCCTTCCTTCCTTCCTTTCTTTCTTTCTATCTATCTCTATCTACATGTATCTACATCTATATCTATCTATTTATCTATCTATCTATCTATCTATCTATCTATTTATCTACCTATCTATTTATCTATCTTCCTTCGAGTCAGAGTCTGACATAGCCCAGGCTGGTCTTCCCAACTTCCCCTGTAGCCTAGAACTTGGACTTTTATCCTTCTGCCTCCACAGTCCAAGAGCTAGGAGGCTGTGCAACCACCCCTGGTTTACACAGCAGTGGAGAGTGAACCCTGGACCTCACTCATGCTAGGCAAACATTCTACCAACTGAGCTACATCCCCAGCCCAGGACTGTGGGTTTTGATTGTTGGTGCAGAGTCCTCCCCTCTTTAACCATGGCAAGCTCAGGACCTAGGCAGGTCAAGGGTCAGCCCTACTAAGCAGCGGCATGTCTCTATGCTTCCTGTGGCCCCAGGAGCCTGAGCAGCAGGCTATAGACTGAGAACAGATGTTAATGGACTAATAGAAGGAAAATGGGATTCCTGGGTTCCGAGCCAAGCGTTGCCACCTGGCAGTCCTCTGATCCCAGCCCAGGCTGTCCTCCATTTGTATTAGGAGATAGGGTTTAAAACCAGTGAGGCCGGTTAGTTCCAGCAGAAGACATGGCACTAATGGGTCCTTAGAAGTCAGGGTCAACCAGGCATGGTGGTATGTCCCTACAATCCCAGCACTTGGGAGGTGGAAGCAGGCAGATCCCGAGTTCAAGGTCATCCTGGGCAACCCAGGGAATTCAAGTCCGGCATGAAGCTCTGTCCCAACAATAGCAACAATGACAAGCAGTCAGGGTTGAATGGGAATCTGGGTTAGATGCACTCACGGGGGCCCTTCCTGCAGAGCGAGGCCAGCCCCGAGAATGCCGCACGGGAGCGGACCCGGGTGAAGACACTGCGCCAGGCCTTTTTGGCCCTGCAGGCTGCTCTGCCTGCGGTACCGCCAGACACCAAGCTTTCCAAGCTGGATGTGCTAGTGCTAGCCACAAGCTACATAGCCCACCTCACCCAAACCCTCGGCCACGAGCTGCCTGGCCCTGCCTGGCCGCCCTTCCTACGTGGACTCAGCTACTTGCACCCTCTCAAGGTAGGGCACTGGCCTAGGGACTTGATCGGGAGCTCGGGGAAGAGGAACAGGAACGGGGGTCATTTTCTTCCTGTTCCCTCAGAGGAAGGACAGAGGCCAGCTTTTGGGGTGGAGTGGTGACTGGGGGCACCTGCATGGGAGCATGCTTGCTCCAGGAGGGGAAGACAGATTCTCAGTGTCAGGGGAAGAGAGGAGCAGGTTCCTGGTCTCAGGCCCGGAACCCGGGAGAGTCATCCGTCTCCGAGCAGCTTTACATCCTTGCTTAGCACCTGTCTTACTTCTCTCTGAACTACTGCTGAGGCAGACCTCTGCTCTGTGGGAGAACAGCAGCCTGAACCCACAGTGCTGAAGCAGCCGGAGTGGTAGTCAAATAATAACAAGGGTTGGAAGGCTTCCAGTGTGTACCATGCCAAACCATTACCTAGATTTCCTGAACCTCAGCTTGAGCTTGTGAAAGACGGAGACAAGGAAGGAGCCAGCTGTCCCTTTTAGAGTGCAAAATAAATGGAAAGGATAATTAACAGTAATGAATGGAAAAGATAATTAACAATAATCACACAGCAGTAACAGCCACTATGATTGGATGCAAAAGCTGGAGGCTGAGCTGAGCTCAGTCTTATCTCTTGACTCCTGCAAGAGCTAAAGGAAGATTACAGATGAGGAGACGAGGGCAGGGAGGGCAATCGCTGGGTGCAGCTTGAACCCAGGCAACTCACTGTGGACTTCTCACCCTCAGCCACCATGAAAGGCCCGGGGCGCCTCACAGGTGTGTAGAGTGTGCTGTGAGCCAGGTATAGTGTCTAGGTACTTAGAAAACCGAGGCAGGAGGATTGCCAGTTCCGGGCCAGTCTGCCAAAGTAGCAAGACTGTAGCTTGCTACATTGTAGCAATGTAGCCTGGTAGCATAGTAGCAATGTGACTGGCCTAGACTCTACTCTTTGTAGACCAGGCTGGCCTCAAACTCACAGAGATCTTCCTGCCTCTGCCTCCCTAAGTGCTGGGATTACAGGCATGTGCCACCAGACCCGGCTGATAAATACTTTTTATCATCTCCTTTTCCTATATCTTGTCCTTCTGAAATGTCTTGAAACTTAAGTGTTGTTGTTGTTGTTTTTTTTTTTTTTTCACTTGAGAATGTAGCTGAAATGCAAACTTCTGAGATTAAATGGGATAGGTATCACGGGGCACAGGGCTGTGAGGTAAGATAGCAGGGTCCTTGTCTGTAAAATGGCAATCAGTTTAAAACAAAGCCTGTGTGAATAATAGATGAACAGTAAATATGTTGGTGAAAGAACAGAGGAGAGGAGAGAAGAGAGGAAGGGAGGGGAGGGGAGAAGAGAAGGGAGGAGAGGAGAGGGGAGGGGAAGAAAAGGGAGGGGAGAGGAGGGGAGGGGGAAGAGCCTAGGTCTAGAAATCTGACAGATTAGTGGAAAGAGGCACAGAGTCCCCAAGGGGGGGGGGGGGGAACGACAGAGAGGAGGTTGAACTCTGAGCAGAGCAATCCTTGCATTTTTTTCATCCATCCATTTGTTTGTTTGAGACAGGGTTTCTCTATGTGTAGCCCTGGCTGACCTGGAACTTGCTCTATAGACCAGGCTGCTGGTCTCAAACTCACAAAGACCCAGCTGCCTCTGCCTCCTGAATGTTGGGATTAAAGGCACATGTCCGTCTGCCCCCCCACTCCCAGCCAGCACTGCATTTTCTAAAACCACACTTATGGGAAAACCTTGAAATCCTTGCAGGATGTGAGGTGAAGGGCCTCCTCCTCACCCTCTCCTTCCTGTCACACTGCTCTGCCCACCTCTCCCTCAACCGAGTCCTGCTCTCCCTAAAACCCTCACTGCACTCAGAGGCAGTCAGAGGCAGGAGGCTCTCTGGGTTTAAGGTCAGCCTGGTTTATAAAGCGGAGTCCAGGAAATCTAAGGCTACACTGAGAAACCCTGTATCAGAAAAACAGACAAGCGAACAAAAACCCTCACTGCCCCCAGTGGGCTCCTTCTGTGTCTCTGCCAGACAGTTGGGAGATCATTTAAGGCTGTGATATTTTGGGGGACATGTCAAGCAGGGGATGCCAGAGAAGGCCAGACGTAAGGTAGGACCACAGTAGCTGTGCTAATCATTTCCCATCTTACGTCTTTTCAGAAGTGGCCCATGCGATCTCGTCTTTACGCGGGAGGCTTGGCGTGCTCTGGCCTGGATTCCCCCACAGCCAGCGCTACCGGCCCCAAATCCAGGAACATGGAGGCGGGGTCCCAGGTCTCTGCAGCAGATATTTTCCTTGCCGCTCCAGTCTCTCCAGCTCTTGGTAACAAATGACTGACACGCTCATCCTACTCTCTTAGACTGTGACTCCTGCTGAAGGACCTGGATTTTCTACCCCTCTCCCTGTCTTCCCCCCTGATTCTCAGCCTTTGGATTTGACTCAAGCTCAGCTTTCAAGTTCGGGCTCAGCTTCCGGCAGGCAGAAGCAGCAGTGATGACGTCAACCGTTCTTCCACAGTAGTGTCAGGAGTGAAAGAGGAAAAAGTGTTTGACATAGTTCAAAGTCAAGTTAGGGAATCACCCCACCCCTTTCTCCCCTAGGGCTCTTCACATAGCAAGAAGACAGAAATTGCTCTGCCAGTACCGAGTGAGGCTAGGACAGCAGTAGCCCCAGGTGCTCATGGGTACACCAGGGGGCCTGAAGGGCTTTTGGTAGCAGTAAGTGTGAACACATCTGGGGTCAGGTCATAAAGCCAGAGAGGAAACTGAAGAACAGAGTGTGATTTTTTTTTTTTAAAACTTCTCTACTAGATGCTTATCCAAGAGGCATAGAAGAGTTTAGGGTGCTTCTCCCTGGATTATGGTCTCTCGAGGGAGCCCCTCGTTACCACATTCCCACACAGGACCAGGCACCCTTTTACACTTTCTCAGCAGATGAAGCTCCCAGACTCAATGGCTTACCATCCAGGGAAATTTAGCTAATCCCAGCTGTCTAGGGCCAGATCTTATCCTGAAGGTAGTTCTACCTTTCCCAGTGAGGCAGCCACTCACAGCCACGCCTACAAAGGATATCCATGCACTCAGCTTCATCTCCTTAAAGGGCCCAAAATGCAGCATGGGTATCTCTCTCATGGCAGTGCTCTCTTCCTGTTATTTTAGAGACCTCACCTCAAGGAAATACAAGACAAGGCAGGCTTTGGCCTGTTTCCTGTGCCACCAGCAATCAGGGCTTCATTGGTTTTGTTATAAGCCATACATTTCTAAATATCAGCTCCCAAGGCTAACTCTCCCCACAGGCATTGACATTTTTCTAGAGCTTTTGTGGTGCTTGTTCTTGACCTTGAAGAAAGAACTAGAGGACAGAGCACGCAATAAGATGAGCTTTCCATGTCAGGTATGGTTTCAGATTGGCCCCTGAGGTCTAAACATGGAAGGAACCACCTTCCTGTCACGTTTTAGCAACTGAGGCCAGTTAGAGTCCTGTCAGGGTGGTCATGAGTTGAGCAGAGGCTTGGTCAGGCTGGGACAGATGGGTCTGTTCCTCCATAGGGCTGACCCCCTAAGGCATCCAGAGAAAGGGGGTTGAGGGGGTGACTCAGCAAGTTGGGGTGGAGATTGAAGACACAGAACGTCCCAGCCTGAGCTGCATGGGCTGTGGGAGAGCAGCTGGGCTGTGGCTGGGAGCCATAGCAGAAGGCCTCAGCCAAGGCCAAACTCATAAATCTGCCCAGTCCCTCATTTCTGCTAAGGGACCCTGAGAACTTGTATAGAGCTGATCCAGGCAGCTGGACGGGGCCAGGCAGGGGCAGCGACCAGGTGTGGGAGGGCAGGAGCAGTATTCTTCACAAGACCATAAAAGTCCAGCCTGGGTGTTCTATTTTTAAAATAGCAGCACCTCCCTGGTTGAGTTGGAAGGTGGTAAAGAAAGACGTGTGCATGATTTCCTCCCAGTCGGTGCCGTTTGATCTGTCTCTGGGCAACCAGGGCATTGGCTTTGGGCTGGGAGTCCCCTCGCAGCCTAAAACATCTTTCAGTGATTGAAAGGAGTCTGATCTGGAGCTTGAAATGCCCACTGTAAGCAGCTAAAAGCACTTGGAGGCAGCAGAAGGAGCTGAAATCTGCCTCCAGCAATAGCTGATGTCCGCCCCGGAACAAGTGTGTGCAGACTATGCACAAGTCGAGGAGCGCAGATGGCAAGCGTGGTGAGGGTGCCGTGGTCTCGGGTCAGAGGGAAGGCTGCACCCGGTGTACCCAGTCCAGTCCCTCTCAGGGTGAGGTGCAGGCTGAGCAGCACAGAAGACTTCCCGATGACTCCCTGCCCCCGGCTGGATGTGCTGCAGGAGATGGGGATCACAGTTTAGACAGAGCAAGGGGAGGGCAGAGCTCGCTGGTCCCACACGGCGAAGGGGTTCACCTTTGCAGACTTTGGAGTTCACCAGCAGGGAATGAAGGACGACAGATCTTGACTGTCAACTTCACTGGGTTGAGAGACAACCGGGGGTTTGTAAAGAGTACCTCTGGGTTTGTGTGTGAGGACTTCTGCCTACTGAATGGCTTAGCCCACGGATGGGTTCAAAATAGACTATTGATAGGCTGGACGTTGTGACACACTTCTTTGATCCTAGTGCTCAGGAGGCAGAGGCAGGAGAATCTCTGAGTTGGAGACCAGCCAGGCCAGCCAGGGAGACACTATCTCAAAAACAACATTAGACTATTGGGTGGCAATGAAATTGTGGACAGGCTGGAGGAAGGGGGCTGGGGCTGGGGGTTTGAGGCTATGATTGTCTCCAACACTCTCCCTGTTACTGCTGCGCTCCTGCCTCTGTCTGCCATGAGAAAAAGAGCCTTCCCTCCACGTTCTCGTGATATCATGATGTTCTAGCCAAACCCATGAGACCTAGAAGCCACGGACTGCTCCCTCTGAGACTTTTGACCAAAATAAATCTTTCCTACTTCACATCGCCTCTATCCAGACTTTGGTCACAGCAATGTGACCTCTAGCAGATAGTAAGAAGATCAAGATGTTTTAAAGAAATAATCCGTCCTTCCCTTTCTGGAGAGAGCCTGGCTAGGGTGACTTAGATAATGTCAGCCTCTCCCTTTCTGAGTACAAGCCCTGGAAGTTTATTCTATTCTAGACCAAGGCAAATCAGGGACAGTAGGTCAAATCCAGCCTTTACCTGTTTGTGTAAATAAAGTTTTATTGGGAACAGCCCTAGACACTTGCTAACATTATTATGGTTAATAAGTATGGTTTCTCATACCAGGGTAGAAGATGCTGAAAAACCGTAGAAAAGTGGTTATCTAGACGATATAGTACATTTCTGACCCCCTGTCCTGCCCATAATTCTAAAACACCGTGGGTATTCCAAGTGTTTCTGGGAATCCTGGGTAACCTAAACAGCCAAAACTATCATCATAATATAAGAATACAAAATGCTATAGCCCTTATTCCCGTCTTCCCTCACATCCTTCTTCTCTCTCTTTAAAAAAAACAAAACAAAACAACTATATATATATATATATATATATATATATATATATATATATATATATTACATTTGTATGTGTGCATGCCAAAGCACACACATGGAGGCTGTGGGAGCTGGCTCTCCTCCCACCAAGTGGGCTGCAGGGATTGAGCTCAGGTAAGCTTGGTGGCAAGAGCCTGTACTCACTGTGCTGTCTCACCAGCTCTCTTTTTTGTTGTTGTTGTTGTTGAGACAGGGATTCCCTAAATAGCACAGGTTAGCCTTAAAGTCAGCAGGGGTTCTCTGGCCTCAGTTTATTACCTCAGTCTAGTACCACATCTAGCTACAATTATTCTTAAAATTTGTGGGGTGTGTGTGTGTGTGTGTGTGTGTGTGTGTGTGCTGCACTTGCCAGAGGACACTCTTGGACTTCGTCCTCAGGAATGTCATTCACCATAGTATCTCTCATTGGCCTGAAGCTCACCAAACAGGCGAGACTGGCTGGCCCCAGGCACCTGTATCCACTGTCCCCAGCACCGGCATGACAAGCCTGTACCACCACGCAGTTGCCTTTTTCCGTGGGTTCTGGGAGGTTGAACTCAGGTCTTTATGCTTGTAATGCAAGCACCTTACAGGGTGTGCTAACTCCTCAGCCCTCTTTCTTTCGTTCTTTTTGTTTTTCTAAGATGGGGTCTCATGTAGCCCAGGCTGGCCTTCAAAATGCCGCGTGGCCAAGGATGGCCTTAAACTCTGGGCCTTCCTCCTTATACCTCCTCCTTTGTCATCGTGCTCAGGTTAATTCTTTGTGTTTGTGTGAGGGTGTCTCGGGGTAGTGCATGAAAGGGCGCTCACCCACGTGTGTGTACATGTGAAAGGACCAAGGGCCTCGGGTGTAGCTCAGGTGATGCCCTGGGTCAAATCCCCAAGACTCCAAGGCCAAACACTGTACACATGAGGGGGGTGGAGCAAAAGAGAGCCAGAGACAGCCATGGCTTCCTCGGCGGCACCAGTCCATCTCTTTATAACTTCAACGTTCCAACTGATAAAGTTGTCTGTAAGCTCTAAGCGCAAGTGCGGCTCCCCGGGACCTCACTTCTCACCCTGCACCGGGAAAACAAAGAACTTCCTGAAGACTGAACTTATAATTCACTCAGAGGCACTGGGGGGATGGCTCGGCTGCTGAGAGACTTGCTGCTCCCTTGAGGGTCTGGCTTCAGTCCCTGGAACCCACCGGATGGCTCACAACCGGAACTCCAATTTCAGAGGATCTGGCGCCCTCTCCTGGCCTTCACAGGCACGGAGCATGCACACAGGGCACACACACAAACGTGCTTGAAACACTCAGGTCCGTAAAATAAGTACATTTAAAACACTCGTCAGGCTGTGGTGGCACACGACCTTAATCTCAACACTAGGGAGGCAGAGGCAAGTGGATCTTTGTGAGTTCAAAGCCAGCTTGGTCTATAGAGTGAGTTCCAGGACAGCCAAGGCTACACAGAGAAACCCTGTGTCAAACAACAACAAAATAAAAAACAAAAAAATCCCAACAAAAATCCAAAGCAAAAACAAAGAAAGAAAAGAAGAAAATTAAACACTCATACACATAAAGTAGATTTTTAAATAATTTTAAATAAAAATAGATTTTAATAATTTATTTTAAAAATAGATTATTTTCAAAAAAGAAAAAAAAAAACCCAGAGTACATGAACTGGAAACTTAATCAATCAAGTACTTTATAAGAAAAATAAAAGCCAGGCATGGTGGCGCATGTGCTCCCAGTGCTGAGGAGGCAGAAGCAGGCAGATCTCTCTTTGAGTCCCAGAACAGGCAGGCTACAAAGAGAGACTCACTATCAAAAATTAAAATAAAATAAGTTAAATATAGAAAATCTTAATTTTATTAGCATCTAGGAAAACGCAGATGAAAATCACCAGGTAACAGACCCCCCAGAATTGCTAAGATCTGTGCCTCGGTTGGAGTACCACTACCGTGGTAAAGCACCATAACCAACAGCAGCTTGGGAGGGAAAGGGGTGACCTTATCCGCAGTCCCATTTAGCAGGTTATCATCAGAATGGTAATGAGGGCAGGAACTCACGCAGGGCAGGGACCTGGCCAGGGGCTGGTACAGAGTCTGAGGAGGGGTGCTGCTTACTGGCTTGTTCTCTGTGGCTCGCTCAGCCTGCCATGCCCAGAACCAGCAGCCCTGGGATGGCCCCACCCCTTCAATCACTAATTTAAAAATTGCTCTACAGGCTTACCCACACCGTGATCTTACAGAGGCATTTCTCAGTCAAGGCTCCCTCCCCTCGGATGACTACAGCTTGTGTCAAGCTGACAAACTATCCAGACACCTGTGTCTACTAAATCTAGTAAGTACACTCAGAAGTATTCGAATCCTAGGCATGAAGAGCTGAGATGAATGGAGAAACCAGCTGAGCACAAGCATGCTGGCAAATGAGCATTATATATTCATATGTTCTTGAGTGTGTGTGGATGTGACCGGATGTTTCTGCCTTGACTTCTGTAAGACTTAAGAAGACTGCAGGTACATGCAGACAGAGTACTCCTACATTAAAAAAATACATAAATAAATACTTAAAAAAAAAAAAAGGGCTGGAGAGATGGTGCAGAGGTTAAGAGCACTGACTGTTCTTCCTAATGGTCCTGAGTTCAATTCCCAGCAACCATATAGTGGCTCATAACCATCTCTAATGAAACCTAGCCTGCAAGCACACATGCAGGCAGGACACTGTATACATAAAAATAAATAAGTCTTTAAAAAAAAAAAGACTACAACCTGGATTTTTTTTTTAATTTAGTTTTATGTGCATTAGCATGCAAGTGTCAAATCCCTTGGAACTGGAGTCACAGACAGTTGTGAGCTGCCATGTGGGTGCTGGGAATTGAACCCGGATCATGTTAGGAAGAGCAGACAGTGCTCTTAACCACTGAGCCATCTCTCCAGCTCCTGCAGTCTTAAATTTTAAGGTGAAGTCATCCCTTTTCTCCCCTAAAATTGCTTTTCGTCCGGGTGTCTTATCTCAACAACAGAGATGAGACTGGGAAAAGCCTCAGTCTAGAAACTGTTGGCTTTCTAGGTTCCTGAGGCTGCGGGATTCTGCAAATGACTTGGTTGTCGCTTGGATAGAGGTATTGATTGATTGATTCTAGCTCTCCAGCCCAGGCCCTGAAGGTTTCCGATTTAACACTGAGCACTTTCTAGGCTTCACCAGTAGAGGGAGCTACAGGGAGCCGCAAGACTGGCCCGCAGGCCAAGCTGCTGTGGTGGAGACCGGTGTCTGTTCCAACAGGCTCATGTGGCTCAGGTTTCTAGATTTTCCCAGAATCGACTTTTATTGCACTCCTTCAAGATTCCAGCACCCTTGGTGTGAATGCACACCCTGTAATTACAGCACCGGGGCTCTCTGCGACAGAAGGATGGTGGGCTCCAGGCTTGCCTTTGCTATGTAGTGAGACACCATCTCAAAATAAACAGACAAACAGGGTTTGGGATGCAGCTCAGTTGGTAAACTGCTCGCCTACTGTATGTGAAATCCTGGCTTTGATTCTCCCAGCACCACAGAAGCCAGGTTCAGCAGCGCACACCTGTAATGCCAGCACTCAGGAGGTAGAGACGGGAAGATCAAAAGGTCGTCTTGGCTCTACAGTGAGTTCAAGGCCAGGTAGGGTACCTGAAACCGTGTCTTGAAGATAAATAACTAGGGTCAATGAGATGGCTCAGCAGACAAAGGCACTCGCCAGGAAAGCCTGGGGCCTCTCCTTCCACGTAAAGACGGAAGGAGAGAACTGTCTTCCTGATGTCCTCTGAGCTCCACACTCATGTTATGGTTTGAGCACACCGCCATCACACACACATCGTGCATGCACACGCGAGAACAGCAAATAAATTACAACTAAGTACTGATTAAAAATTAGTCATGTTTTTCCATTCCCGGTTAGACTGAGTGCTACAACAGCCAAGGTGACGTTCTATGGGTACCTGGCCTGCCTCCTGACCAACGATAAATATATAAATAGTATCTTTTCTTCTTTCTTTGTTAGTACTCTCCTTTTTTTTTTTTAAATCTTTTATTATTTTTTTTTATTAATTACACTTTATTCATTTTGTATCCCCCCCATAAGCCCCTCCCTCCTCCCCTGCCGATCCCACCTTCCCTCCCCTTTCTGCATGCCTGCCACTCCCCAAGTCCACTGATAGGGGAGGTTCTCCTCTTCTTTCTGATCTTAGTCTATCAGTTCTCATCAAAAGTGGCTGCATTGTCCTCTACTGTGGCCTGGTAAGGCTGCTCCCCACTCAGGGGGAAGTGATCAACGAGCAGGCCAATCAGATTATGTCAGAGGCAGTCCCTCTTCCCATTACTAGGTAACCCACTTGGACACTGAACTGCCATGGGCTACACCTGTGCAGGGGTTCCAGGTCATCTCCACGAATAGTCCTTGGTTGGAGTATGAGTCTCTGGGAA